ACAGAGAGAGAGAGGGGGGGGGAGACAGAGAGAGAGATAGAGAGAATGTGTGTGTGTATATCTATGTGAGTGTGTGTGCTTGTACGCGCACCTACACGACCAAGGTAAAATTCATAAGTGCTTCACTTGTCCCGTTAGTTGAACGGATGTTGCTCTTAATCTCAAAATAGGCCAACCACACCTTTTGAACAAAATGACAAATAAATGATCGTACGTATAGGCTACTTAAGCGTAAAATTTCTTTTCTCAACTGCCATGTTCACCTTTATCAATTATTATGGGCAGAAAAGAAAGTTGCAACAACTCACTGGAAAATTCCTTGAGATTATTAAACTTGCCTCGAAACAATGTACATTCTCTCTGACAATCACAGCTGTTACTCTTAGTGTGCACCCTTTTGTTATCTAAGCCATCTGGAACCCTCACAATACCAGACCAGCATCTGTGGTTTAGCGGTTGTGTGTCACCATCGCTTGCAGGAGACCCAAGTTCGATTCCCGAATGGGGGGGGGGAGAGAATTTTCATCCAGAATCTCAGCCTTTCTGCTGGGACGTTGAATCCCTCTCAGTCCGGGTTGGCCAAAACAGGTATGGTGAACCCCGCCTCCTTCCTACTCCTGTATGATTTTAATTGTGTTGATGGGGTGTAAAACACCTACATTGTTTTTAGATTTCACAATACCAGAAAGAAGACTCAACACTGGGAAAATAACGTAAAGAAGTATATGGTATGTGAAAGAGGATTATAATAATGATATATTCCGTTAGTCTCACTCACTCGTTGTTTCGTTAAATTTGTTGATAATAATGTAAATGTTCTGATGATGTTGTCAAGGATTTTCTTAATGTTTTAATTTTATTCTGTTATTTTTCCCTCGTTCATCTCTTTTTCCTCCCCCTTCTCCTCTTCGTCGTTCACCTCCTCATCTTCCCCCTCCTCTGCTCTATTACAAGGGATGAAAACGGATGAAACATCGAGGTAGAATTTGGAGTCTGGAGTAGAAGAGAAGAAAGAGGAGAGTTCAGAGAAGATAGAAAATAAACCGTAAAAAAAAAAAGGCTGATGGTGCAGAGGGCAAGGAGAATGGAGGAAAAAACACAGAGAGAGAGAGCGAGAGAGAGAGAGAGAGAGAGAGAGAGAGAG